TAGCACCTATGAAGGCCGGCACGGCACACGGGTGAGTGGGGTGGCCAACACCACGCCCGGCCGCCTTTGTCTCTCCCAGTGCGGATGTATTAACACCGAAGTAGGTACTCATTTAAGGCTGAGTTGACCGAAGGGAGGAGGCTCAGGGCCGGTTCAAATATTCGCCACCGCAATTATTACTCTTTGTTTTTTTCGGTAAAGTCACGTAGGTAAAAAATAAAATAAATGAAAAAATTAAATTAAATCACCGCAATTATTCTTGGGCGGGAATCCAACTCGGCTCGCTGGGTTTTTAGCACGATGGGCTAACCACGACACTGCCGCTCCCCCACCAGCACACGCACGCACACACAGAAGTGTAATGCTCGCCCAGATGGAGCAGTGACGTGTTACTCCAGGGTTTCTAAAAATATGCGCTTGATGACATCATGATGACGTATGGTCGTATACTGATGACAGCCTCACATCATGACAAGTCCAGTATATGAATTTATCTATTTTAAATGATACGCACGGCGCAACAATCCCGCCCGGCACCCGTGTGCAGGTGCCGGGCGGGATTGTTGCTTCGCAGGAGCCGTGGCAGTGGCAGTGGGCAGGCCTTCATCCAGCAGCGGCTTGACTACGGCTGATGACGACGATGTCTATAGAAGGAGCAGACCGGAAATAATAAAATAATAAAAATAAAACATAATAAAATAATTATCACGACGTTTCGGCCACAACGCAAGCAGCCGTCCTCAGGTGAAGAACAAGTCTGTCGATAAGACAGAGTCTGAATGACACGTCCTGGGCTTGGAGCGTTGTGGCCGAAACGTCGTGAGAATTATTTTATTATGTTTTATTTGTATTATTTTATTATTTCCATTCTACGTGACTTTACCGAAAGAACCAAGAAGATGAATCCCTGCAGTCACGAAAGCTTCAAATCGAAATTTAAGGAGCAGACCGTCAATTTAAAAACATCGCAAGGTGGCCAACGCCATGCTCGCTAACCATTCCTGATGCCGAGGCCTGCAGCGAAGCTTTCTGCAGTAGCTTCCGTATGACCAACCACTCGGGTCTCTTCCTGGCTTCGGAGTTCAGACAAAAAAATGTGGCAAAGAAGACAAAGGCGGCCGGGCGTGGTGCTGGCCACACGACTCCCCCGTGTGCCGTTCCGGCCTTCATAGGTGCTCGAGTGCATTCAGTTTATTCCGTTTACACAGGCAAGGACTCAAGAGCTCAGGATAGTTTAATTTGCAAGGGTGACCTGGGGCATGTCTGCCAATATGGTGTGATGATTGCCCTGCATAATCCAAATTGAGTAATTGTGGGCAATCTTAGAATTTGGCAAATTTGGACAATGCATCGTCCACTCTTCCAGAGAATTGTTTGAACAAGTATTGTACACATGTTGATAACCTATGCCATATTCTTCGGATTATGGATAGTAATATGCACCCAAGAATTATGCGCAGTGTTAATGAAGTAATACAAATATGGTTACGCGTGCATGCACGCACCTACCGGATGATAAGAATCACCCACAAATTTTGCTTTAAATTACAGGCAAAAAAAATTGCATCTTATAATCTGGTGATTATGATGATGGTAATTGAGAGCCCTTTGTGAACACTGTTGGAAGAAGGCCTCCCCCACCCACCCACGCCATGTCGGTCATGAGGATTATTTGACCAAATTTTACCACAATGGACGGGACAATGCAGGTTGCTGAAGCTGTCGGAGAGGGAGGATCAGTTCGGATATCAGTTGCCACTGATGTTAGTTAGCCATGGCTAGGAATCGAACTCTGGCCATCAGTTCTAGATTTGAAGCTTTCGTGACTGCAAGGATTCATACTCTAAGTTCTTTCGGTAAAGTCACGTAGGTAAAAAAATTTTTTTTAATTTAAATTAATACAAATAAAACAATAAAAATCACGACGTTTCGGAGGCAACACAAGTCTCCATCATCAGGTGGGACCGTCACAGCCAGATTTGCTGCATCAAGTGGCCATCAGCTTTGTAATACCTTGAACTAACCGCTGCACCAAGAAGGAAGTTATTCATGCCGTTTGTGGCGAGAGACTTAAATTGTATTGTTTAGTCAAGAAACATATGGCTGACTGCACCGTACATTTTTTGTACTCTCATTTAAAACCGACGTAAATGCCAACAGTCCTCCATAGACAAATGTAAGCTGGAGTATTCTGTCTGGGCAGGAGAGTGGCACTATTTGAACACGCGCGTAGGATGGACAAGAACAGGAAACTCTAAAGTGTGCTGTTGTTGTTGTTCGGGAAAAAATGTAAGGAACCGTAAAGAGAGGAAGAGCTCACAGAGAATGTCTTGACGATGACCACGTCATGAGAGATTGGTGCCGGGAAGATGTGCGCACTACTTGGGCACATTGGCACAACGCAGAGGAAATTGGAAACAATTGACGAAATGTGCAGTGGACACGTGTGGGCTATCTGCTCATTGATCACGGTGATGATGATGAGAAGCAACGTGGCATAACGCAAAGGCAGGATTTGTTCGGGTTAAATGCTACGCACTTTACTCAACAAATTTTTTTTAATCGATGGAGCTCTCAGTACAGACTTCATTCATAACCGCAAAAAGGCCCCCATCTCTGAAAATAATCACCGATCAATAACGATTGCGGTAGAGGTAAATAAGATGACGTTTCCTCTGGTTCAATTGGACAGCGGTGGGGAAAAGGACCGTTCACTCACAAGGTAGTTATTCCTCAAATGCGCGTTTTACAAACCACGGTAACCGCGATTAAAGCGGGGTCACAAAGGTCACCAACAATGCCACCCAACAGAAGAGCCGAAAACACCACCCCCATGCCGGTAACATTATCGACAATAATCCCTATATTGTTAACTTCAATTCAATCATTAAATTATATTCAATACTTTCACCTCACGCAGGATCCCAATAAATGAAACAAATCCCCCGACCACTGACGTTGGTCAAAATGATGTTTCACAATAGTGCTAGACTTTGCACATTTTTACAACAACAAATATAATTATATCAATGACAAACACACGATTACAATATCTGATGAGCTGTCGTGCAAGTGGAACAAGCGGCAATGACGATGGCGAAGACAGAACCAGAGAATAATGACAGGAGATGAACTGAAGGCATGCGGAGAGGCACCCACTGAAACACAAAACTGAAACGCAGCTGGTGGCTTCGTTCAGAACCGACGCGCACAATGGCAGACTGGTCGCCGTGGACGTCACCGCCACGACCTAATCTGGCGCGCTCCGAAGAAACGTCACCGCCACGACCTAATCTCGCGCGCTCGGACGAAACGTCACCGCACAGCCGATGGGTTCCATCGATCGCGCGCTCGTGCCGTTTTTCCACGTCGTCGCCAAGAGCATCGTCGCATTTTTTTTTACACAGAATCGGGATGGGCCACCTGTCCCCGCGCCGCTACGTTTTTGCACCGCAGGCAGTCCCCGCTGTTAAAAGCATATACTTTGCTGCAAGTAAAAATGCGTGTATCGAATCTAAATGCACGTGTGGAATCTTACAGGGGTTACACCCTGTGTTCTTTGCATGCGTGTGCACGATGGATATAAACTGCCTATACGAATTATAATGACAACAATGTGTGCGCTATAAATATAAATAAAGCGAGAAAGCTTGCCCATTTGGCCTCATGGTCTGTTGAGGGAAGCAACGTTAGTAGGCACTCATTCAGGCCAGCACAACACACACACACACAGAATGTGTGTACGTTTAGACTGGACAGTCGTATGCCCTGTGTCCATGGACAGCCAGCTCGAGTCGACTTGAGGCCACTCGAGCTGGCCTGATTTCTGCCAAAACTCGAGTGATGAACAACTTGAGTTGGTTAGAAACAAAAACAATGACTGCAATTGAATGACTCTTTGAGTTGCTACAGAAACCACGTGAGTAAGACTATCCCAGAAAATACACGCAACGTAAAGATCAAGTCCACGTTACTGACAGAACTAAATGCTGAATGTAAATGTTTCTGCCGCCATCAACACGTTTTGATTAACGTGTTTGGTGATGTATTCCCGCTTGGCCCAAATTCTGATGTAACTAATTCCGGGCAGCCGGGGAAGTGAAATCAGCCTGGCTATTTGGTTCTGCTGTCCGAATTTGGCAGCCAACTAGAATTGACTAAAAATATTGAAACATGTGGCAGTGAGAGGCAACTCAAGTTCACGCACGGGGCTCCATGGCTCATGGACAGGCGGTACTGTCGCCTGATGGTGGACAAGCGTTGTTGGTGAACACCGAGTAGGGCCATGCATACAGATGGATGCTATGGCCAGCACTATGCCTGACTGCATTAACTCCCGAGCGCTCTTGTATACACAGTGAACCAGGCAGTCAACTCTCACTCAGTCATTCTAGGAAAGGCCCAGGGGACAGCTCCAGACAACACTACCCAGTGGTACTGGTCATCGCTGAGAATCCAACTTAGGTGGCCTGGTTGAAATTGCAGTGCAGTAGGCACGGTGCCCCTTCTCCCCACGACCACGGCGCCTCTAGACTCACACCCACGCGTCCAGTTGGTACATGGTGTATGACGAAAACAATAAAACATTCACGCGGAGGCACTACCAATACTGCTCTCTTGGGAAAAGGACAGAAGAAACAAATCAATATTCAGATAATTCTAAAGTCCCACACACTGGCATCAAACTGTCTGCCTAATGAGATCAGAGGGGGTGAATCTCAATGTCAATCAGTGACATTCAATGAGGTGAGATGCCATTAAGATAATTATCTCTTTTGAAAGGCAGCCTGGTAAGCTTAATTTTCTCACAAGAATTATGAGGTTTTTTTTTACACTTCAATTCCAAGCAATTTTCAAATTGCGCATTTGACACGCAATTACTCCAATGCAACTCTCCACAAAGGCGACCTGTGCACGGAATGACGACGAGGACTGAGTGTGAGTGGAGGGGGCCGTGGAAGTGCAGGGCCAAGTGGGCAGCTTCAAACGGCCGTGCTCACCTGTCTCCCGCTGCGTGCTGATTGGCTTGCCCACGTGAGTGACGGACCAGGGCTGACCCCGCTCCGTCTGGGTCAACGTGGACGAGATCCCGCCAAGCTCGTCTCCGAGGCGCTGGGGCAGCTGCCAAAACTCGCTGCCCACGTGGAAGCCCTGCGTCACAGCGGATTAACGTCGCGGCTTCTCCGTGATGTCTGAGACACGCGGCGGCGGTGGCGGCGGCGAAGGCTCAAGGTGACATTGGCGTCGTCTCCCCAGCGCAAGCGAGCATGGGCGCGCCGCTCGTTGCATCTCTATTCACTGTCGAGGACCAGCGGTGGAAATTTCACGTTTTTATAGTGAGGGGGTCACTCCTCCCCTAAGATAACTGTTGCTGACTAGGTGGTAGTTGTTTTATATGCCCTCGAGGGATGGTGGGACGAGTCGACCCTGGACAGAGGTTGAACCCGTAAAACCTCTGAATACGGAGAAATCTGACAGGTTTTGAAATTGAATTCAGTCACATTATATCACGGTGCCAAAATTAATATATACTGCTCTCCTGGTATCCACGAGTAACAGTAAAAGCAACGTACGTCGAGGTGGCATCCGAAATGCACAATGCAGAAATAAGAAACTGATATTGTTGATGTACGGTTCTTTGTAATCCTCTGCTGGATGAAGGCTACTTCCATGCCGTGTCGTTGATGGGAGTTCTTTGAACACAGACGTCACCATACTGGTTCGTGCAGGTTGGTGAAGGTAGCGGTATCCTGTATAGGTTCAGATATTGCTTGCCATTGAGTTGGGTAGCCGGGTTCATAGTGCAGAAAGCTCATCTCTGCCATCACTCGCCCATAAAATTAATATACAGAGAGTTATGCTCAAAATTAAAAAAATAAATGTCAAACTTCAAAGAGGCATATTAATTTTGTAATAAAATTGCACATTCAAATGCACATTTATGATAATGCCTTCAATGTTGTGGATTGGATTCAAGCATTAACGAGCATAACGGGAACATTACAACCCATCGCACGAGTGTATAATCCCACATCTGAAGTAATGAGGCCAAATTAGAAAACAAATTTGTATCCCTGGAATCAATGTGACTATTCACATGGGTTTCCAAAACATATCCTCCATCGTTGAGGGGAAAAAAACAAGGCCCCACGTTTTACTCCACCAACAGTGACCCCCCGCATTCAGAGAGAGATTACAAATACGGTGAATTAAACGAGGACAGCACCAGGTTGGAACGGTGTAAGGACCTTGTGTCTGTGTGTATACATTGTGTGTGTATATACACAATTGTGTGTGCGTGTATATATACAATTGTGTATGTGTATATACACAGTCGTGTGTATTACAAATACGGTGAATTACACGAGGACAGCACCAGGTTGGAACGGTGTAAGGACCTTGTATCTGTGTGTATACATTGTGTGTGTGTATATACACAATTGTGTGTGCGTGTATATATATACAATTGTGTATGTGTATATACACAATCGTGTGTATATACACAATCGTGTGTGTATACATAATTGTGAGTGTATATACACTCACAATTGTGTGTGTATGACAGAGACCCACAGGCATCGATTGAGAGAACAATCACCGTCCATTGTCAGGAGGCTCAACGAGGGCAGCACAATCACACAGCGCGTGGCCGTGGACTCGTACGAACTGACGTCTCGTATTTGCACACAATTTGTTTAGCTCGCAAACCAGCCGCGCGAGTGGGAACTGCTGGTGTGGCGGCGGCGCGAGTTAGTTGGTCCGACAGACGAGGCACATTTGAGCAATGAGCTGCGGTGAGAATTCGTAGAAAGAGAAATTAAATTGGCCTCGCTGACAAGCCCACCGAGAGCCAATCGTCCAATAGTCTTCAGCCGCAGAAGGGACGTGCGCCCTCGAGAGCATCTCTCAGGTCGGTCAGCTTGAGGGCAATCCTTTCAAAATTACAAAAGCAGTGTATTTGCTTTGGATAGTGTACGGTAACCCAAGCGTGAAATGAAACTTGGCTAAAACTTTCGAGAATAAGCCATTGCTTCCCGCTGGCTGTGGAGAAAAAAGGACAGAGAGAGGTTGGGATCACAGAGCCGTGCTTAGAGACAAGTCTTGAGCCATGCCAGACTGTTCCAGAAATGGCACGGCATGGCTCGGGGTCTGATTCGTTTTGATTAATTCCCCATGGAAACGCAGCGATAGAGCGAGGCCTAGAAAAAGGGACGAGCGAATGGTCAGATGCGACGAGGCAACGCACCACCGTCGCACGCGCGTTACCTTTCCGTAGTCGAGTTGTGGGATGGCGCGGTCAATGAGCTCCCTCTCCTCCTGCACGTGCCGGTGACGCCCGCTCTGACACATCACCAGCCGCTCCTCCGACGTGTCCATCACCTCTGAAGGCAAATAAGACAGAGATTCCCCCGTGTAGCCTTAGCTGAGTATTGGGGCAAGTGCTGTTAGCGGGCATCTCTGAAGGCCGGCACGGCACACGAGGGGGTGGATGGCCAGCACCACGCCCGCCCAGCCGCCTTTGTCTCCCAAGTGGTGATGTTTACACACACCGCACCAGGTACTCATTTTGAGGTTGAGTCGACCTAGGGGAGGCCTAAAGACCGATTCAAATAATCGCCACTGGTGTTGGCCATGAGCGGGAATCGAACTCGGGTCGCTGGGTTCGTAGCGCAGCGTAGCGCTAACCGCGACTACGCTACCGCTCCCCACAGCCAGAGACACACACACACGCGGCAGGAATCACTTCAAAGTGGCACAGCAACGCACACACCGGACGTCAACGATGCCATTTAAGGCAAACTGTGGACAAAATAATACGTCAGCGTCTTCCTTGATCACTCTCCATCAGCATTTTAAATGTTTGCCAGGCTACAACTAAAGCCATCCACTGCCTAATCAACCTCAATAAGAACATTGAAATATTGCTGCCCAGCGCTCTGCTATACTACAGAAGGCAATGCTAGTTTTACATTCGTTGTGCGGTTAACGTGCAATACACATTTTCAACACGTCGGCTCTCAATATTATGATTCGTAAACGATTTTGAGTCGGATCGCGTCAGCAAAATGACACTGTACCTGTTGTACACCCTCTTCTACCAGCAGAGAAATAATTAATGTTGTCGCGTGACGCAAACTGTGAGCCCAGGAATTGTGTCAATTCACCACATCGCTCGGAGGGTGATTCGGTAAATGTCAGGAGAGGCACTACCATTCACCACAAATGGGTAAAAAATTATATCCCTGAATTAGCATCGTGAAATCTGATCGCAGCAAGTCAACGAAACGCCAGAGGGGTACATCGTGCCACCCCCGGTTGCTCATGCTCCTGCAGAATATTATTATGGGAGTTGGGATCTCAAGATGTCAGAAGAGGTCCCAGAGTTCTGCAAAACAAGGCATGCACTTGTAGTTGTTCTGCCCGTTTATGCCGAAGATACTCCACAGTATTAAAGGCAACCATGCATGTTGTGTAACAGGACTGATCAAGGGTCTTTATACAAGGACACGGACCAAAGCACACCAGCTACAATCGTATCGATACGTAACAAGGCTGGGCCCCAGGCTGTCTGACTGACATTGCTTTGAAACTTCGTTTTAATGTCTTCGTTGTAATGTGGGGAGAAAAAACATTTCACGTTTACGAAAGTCGTTACCGCTCGAGTGACGCCGCAAGCTGCGTGATTTTATTTTACTTTTTATAAAATCTCTGCAATGACATCGACGAGAATACTCTCCTGTAAATCGTTTCAAAGTATCATCTTCCTCATTAACGAAGCCCTGGACAGTACGGAACACACAGCCCAGAGACGTGTCCGTGAGGATCTAAACATGTTTATTGATCGGCGTCATTCCTTATAGCAACAGAGAATGACATTAAGGTTAGCGCCAGTGCCCTGCCACGGTAATGTAAGTCACGGAACACCAACAGCTATCCATTATTCTGCAGTCTGCCTCTCCATTGTATAACGATATGGCATAATGACCCGAAGTGAAATCATTTCCTTTTTGTAGGACCGATGCGTCATATGCATTTTTTTTTCCTTTAAGCAAGACTCAGAGAAACGCAAATAGGCAATGGCGAATTCGTCTGCGGCCATCGCGATCATCGCCCTGCAAATAGAAACGCTACATCTCAGCTGCAATGCGATCTCCTCATAAATGTAACACCGTGTACATAAAATGAAATACACGCCTCATTCTAGCATTCAGCAGATGGCTGCAGGAAGTTGCTGCCAATCATTGCATTTCAAAGCTGCCAGATATGAAGGGCATTTTATATTTTTCACACATCGTATCAAAGTGTCACTCCTAACACACATTTTTACGATACATTGATGCCTGTGCCCTGATTCTACAAACAGCTTCGCTTTTTACCTGCCCACAATTTTGCAAGAAAAATGCATTTCATCTTAATATTGCCTTTCAAATGTGGCCAATTAAGAACGCACACTCGGTTTTGTAATTCTGCCCCTAATCCAGACGAATGGAAAAAGGCTTAGTAAATAAAGCTGCCTCTAAAAACCATAGCGCTGTCTTCTTACGCCTCGGCTTCACAGGGGAAATGTTTCGACACCTTTACATTTTAGAGAGTTTTCCATGAGCTCTAAGAATCACACACAATCGTGCAGCTGCCTCCAGCAACAGCAGCAGCAACAACATCAGCCCAAACATTAGCCGAATCCTTTCAGAAATATATATTTTTAAATGTACGGTAACACAGGGTTTGTATAACTGCATATGGTTTCCTATCGTGACAATTATACATGCACATGACCTTTCTCAACTGTTGGATGAGGCCTCCCCATGCCCTGACAGTTGTAGGGATTGTGCAAGCAACAGAATGGACTCTTGAAGCTAATAGTGACCATAAGGATTGAGAAAACAGCAATTCTCAAGCGACGAGCGCAATTGTTGCAGACCTGGATTTGAACCGAGGTTTCAGCAACTTGTGATATAACCAGATTCTGAAGAAAAGTGAGATGGTGGTCTCACCGTGCTCACCACTGGCAGCACAAAAAACATAATCTTATTAACTTAAAAATTTGTTTTGATTTTGCACATGCCAGCTTCTCTGAGTACTAAATGAAACAATGCATTGATATTCCATTGTTGTGTTTGGCAAGAGTTGCATTTCAGAAGTGACATTACTTCCAGAGCTGGTCCTTGATTATGCTGACAAAAGTTTCATGCACCTCATGGGTGGCGAGATGTTAACTACCTCTCCTGGTAAGCAGGAGGTTGTGGGTTCGATCCCGACCCTGATGCCTGTATATTTGGAGTTTGCATGTCCTCTTTCTCCCTGTGATCTTGTGGATTTTCTCCAGGTTCCTCCGGTGTTTCCCTTCACATTTAGAATCGTGCGTTTAGAGTATTTGGCTGATATAAATTTCCACATGATGATAAGCCACTTCGTTGAGCTATCATTTGTGATAGCCAGGTCGCTACTGAAAAAGAGCTACATAGCTCAATGGGCCTTACCTGGTTAAATAAAATGAGTTTAGTTTTACATAACACCCACTACATCACTGGCAAATACATGAATTCCCCAGCTAGCCGGACTCCAGGTAGACATATTTCAGATTTAGCCAGGCCTATGCCAGATTACTGAAACACAATTCTATAACGAATTATAAATACAAGAATATAGAAAAAAACCCACTGTACATTGTATATAATTTAGAATATATGTAATATAACATGTATAATAAAAACATGTTAAATTATATTTATTTTAAAGTGGTGAACATGCTGCTTTAAAGCAGGATTGAGCCTGGATATTGTCGGAAGGGCAAGCACAATGCACAACAAGTATTATAGGCTGTGGGGTTACATGGTGGGCAGCAAAGGCCAGTGCAGCAAAATTCACTGTTGTATTGTACGTGAAATGTCCAGGAGATGCCAGTGATGAGTGTTACCCCCTCGTGTGCATGGTGGGTTGTATTGTACGTCTATGCTGCCATATCTATGCTACCCACCTTCACTGACTAGCACGGTGACGTATGATCAAATGACCCACAGAGTGCAAGGAAAAGGTCCTCACCCCGCAGTGCATTGACGAAGAGCCGAGACGTCTACACATGCACGGACACCGCACCCCGGCAGCGCGGGCAGGGGCGGGCACGCGTGGCGAGGACGCTCCACGAATCGCTTCCCCCCCCCCCCGCCCCCAATTAAGCGGAGTCGGAGACACCTCGGCTCATTTGTACAACCTCCTTGGAGCATCGTTGTCCGTTCACTATTCGCCGACTCTCTCTGCGCATCATTATTTTTGCAAAGTTCGCGCAATGACTGCTTGTTGTTGTGGGAGCCTCTCTTGTAACTCACAATGCAGATGGCTGGAATGTGCGGTCGCCTAAATGGTGCAGTAATTGCAAACCCCGTTCTCTTGGTGCGCTAAGCAATAACTGTGCACCTATGCCCACCCGCCCCGTTTCACGACCATTTCTCTGCTCGCACCGCTCAGACCTATGGCAAACAGACCCATGTTTCAAACTCTTACCACTCACTGCTCTCTCTGTAGGATTGCAAATCGGACGACTGCTGTACGAATCCTCCGCAACTGCAAAGTGAGCAAGCCAAAGTCACCCGTGGTGTCTAATTTATTTCCTTCCCCTGCAAACTGTGATAAGCTGATAAGGGCTGTTATTGTGAAAAGTAGCAGCCAAATTACATTTCAACGCTGCTGAATGTCAAGCGCAACAACTACCCAGAGAATCACAGGCGTGAGAGCAGTCCCTCACGGCCGTACTTTCCAACTCGATTAACTACCCACACGGAAACGTGCCGCTCGAACTCATCAGCAGTGTTTAGAGCAGCAACATTAACAGTGACAAAGTCACACGTGCATGTTGGTCTACTTGCCACGCTCACATCGAGGACGACATCGGCAGGGCCGAAGACAACACCACTAGAGCGACACTCAGCCGGCACGTTCAGAGATCTTCATTGAAGCAGAGTTTGTGAACGGTATCGCTTCTTGCCTTAAACAGGGCCACATCATTTCAATGCAGTGCTCTTGCCAATAAACATCCGGTAACCCAGCAGCATTTGTTTAACAAGCCTGACTCTGCTGATGAGACCCAGAAGGTCAAAACTGGTCCAGCGTATGCTGGATTCATAACGCTACTTCATAGGATTGGTGTTAAATTCCATTAGGCTGATAAGACTAAAGATTATTTAGTTTAATGTATGAGCAAAGATCGAATGGATCACTGCTCGTATATGCGTTTAATCATCTAAGCAGGTGGCGCGACTGTAATTAGGCAAGCGGCTGTCTGGCGGTACGTCAGAGGAGGGACCTTTTCCACGCTGGGGCCCTGGATGACTCCACGTCGGCCCAAAGTCCCGCTAGGACGGGAAGTGCCGGCGTGTGTTGTATGCACGTATGTTGTATGTATGGTGTACATATGTATGTTGCACTTCTTCCGCACCGTACGTGGCCAACCGTACTAATTGGAGGTGCGGGGGAAGGACAACAAACTAAACACAAAAATCAGTTCTCAAGAAATTCGTTTTCAATCCAGTGGCTTCCTAATATCGGAAGGAACAGCATTGCAGATAGCCGCAGAAGCGCGTCTGAAAGCGCCGCGCGACGATGCGGCGACCGTCACTGCTCGCCGTTCTTGTTGCGGCGGCCGCGCGAGGCCTCACTTGCGATGTGCCCCTGCAGGCGACGGCGCTCTGCCATGCGGCGCTGCCAGTGCTGCAGGGCGCGCCCCTGATCCAGGCCGGTCGGGGCGGCAGGAGGTGGCTCTGCGGCGCCACTGGGACCTCTCCGCTTCACCCGCGTGGGCGCATCGGAGGGCAGAGGCCACTGGTCGCCGTCCTGCCGCTGCGCGCCGACCAGCTGCGCTACCTGCGCACGGGGATGGCTGCGTTAGGTTTGGCCTCACCACGTCATAGTGGTCGGCGTGGTGCAGTCGTGCAGTCGTTCGCGCTTGCCGTTACGAACTAAGTTTGATTCTGGGCCGCAACTAACACCGTCAGTGGCGAGTGGTATCTCAACCGGCCCGGCGTGCCACCCTTCACCAATCGTCATTGACCAGTGCGATGAAGTATGGTCAAACAACCCCCGTGACCGGCACGGCAAGGGGAGGTCTTCATCCAGCAGGGGAGTGAAGGGCTGTAAAAAATGTTTTTTTATTACCAAATGATTATCTTTGTTATTGGCGTGGAGCATGAACATGATCACGCATCAAGAATATCACACTACTACTTACGACCACCCATTTTGGGCAGGATGTTTGTTAATTAGCAAAATATATACAAGGGTGAGCAATACATAAAACGCATGCATAAACTACCCTTTTAAAAAATCAGGGCATGAACTCAACTAGAGACCAAAATAATTGTTGCATCGTAAGTCCATGAAGGGTGGTAACGGGTTGGGGAGGCTTTCATCCGGCAGCGGTTAGATCATGGCTGGCAATGATAATAGCGATGGAGCTGCACTGCCGTTCACATTTTTGCTATTTTGTTTTCAAAGTGCATCGTTCTCTGAAGGCAAAGATACTTTTGCATTAAATTCGTGCCCGCATTGTTCTTCCCTTGTGTTTTTCACGACACGCTTACAGAGTGCAATGTGTTCAGAATACATGACTGACATAATTGCAGTTTAAGGAAGTGAAAATATAGGGGGTGGTGGTAGGAGGTGATCAGCAAGGGGAGGGAGTTTATTGTATTGCAGAATCTTTCCAGGCGGGGGATAGGGTCTCCCTTGTGAGAGGTTCATTGGGTTCTCGGCAACTAATATAAACTAATATAATATATAAACGAATATAAAGGCTGCCGTGTGATTGACACATGTGCAGTGATAAGTCTCCAGACTGCGTTTAAGGAACGTCCTGCATTCAGTTGGGCCAATTCCTTTCATGTCCGGCTTTGTGTGGGAGGAAACCAGAGTACCCTGAGAAACCCACCATGCACACTCATCACTGGCATCTCCTGGACATATCACAGTGCCATGCCGAAAACATTGGTGGTTACGCATCCAAGCTCTGAACAGGCACAACACTGCTTAGCTTCCGAGATCCAACGAGGTAGCCATGGCCACAGGAGATGATGAAGTAAACAGTGGGCCATATAGGAATCCACCGTAGTCTGAGCTCTCTCGACAGAGGAGGAATTGCAAACCGACACAAACCCTCTCCTGAAGCCCTCTGGTTGAGGACCGCAGGCCTGCATTCAGCTCCGCAACACGTTGCCATCCACAAGAGGAGCCGAGCCGAAGATGCAGATACCTTGGTCTCTCCTCTCTCCACAGCCTCTGTAACGTAGTCTTCCACGCTTCCCAGAATGCTGTGCAGCAGCACTTGGCCCTTCTCATCAAAGCGTGGACCTCCAGGTCCTAGACGATGAAACGCACACACACGGGCGAATGTTTCGACTTTGTTCCTTTAACAGCAAGGGAGTTGCCCCTGTTGTTATTCAGCCTGCCCTAGAGTTAGAATAAAGAAACGAGTATTTTTATTTTAATGTGTTGATTGCAACACAACGTGAGCCCGGTACAATACTCTGATCGCAAATGGAGGGGAACAGAAACTCCACAATCAGCAACCCGATTTCGGCGCGGCAGGACCTCATGGACAGGGGAATTTGAGCTCGCTGGCCCACCTAAGTGGGGACCACGTGCAGGAGCATGAAGATGCATACGGGGAGGGGAAAGGGGAAGGATAAAGGTAACTAACATCCTCGGGGGAGACAAGGGGCCGGGGGAGAATAAAAGAGATGATTCTTAAATAAAATCATGACCCCGAATCGTAACGATGTATTGAATTGTGGTGCAGTGTGGGGGAGGGGAGGGAGTGAACTGCTAGTCGGGCGGTAGCCTGTAATCCAGCACAGTGGAGGTAGGGAGGGTTGGTGAATCACCGCACAAATGTTGTGAAACTCCCTTCCAGTGGGTGTCGAGGAGGCACCATATTCCTGGCTCGTCAGAAGGCCGTAAGAAAAGTGGGCTAACCACCACCTGTTTACACCTGTTTCCAAGCGGAGTAACCCCATCCGTCTCCACCTACCCCTCGCCTGCGTGAGTCTTCTCCGGGTGCTCTGGTTTCGGAATCCCACTTGCATAAACACTCGTCATTAATTGGCTGAAAACATCTTAAAATAAATCAAATAAAAACACAATGCAGGACCCTCGTCAAAAAAAGTTTGATAACTCAGTTTGGCTTTCCTGGGTAAATATCTCATTTATCATTATTTTATTATGTTACTCACTTGGATGTGACGCCTACACATGACACTCATTGTTTTTTAAAATCCCAACTCTGCCCCTTGACTCCCCGAGTGAAATGTCACGGGGGCCGATCTCTCGACCCGGCGCTCAAGTGCATCGTGCACTTGCATCCTCAATCAATTCAGCACGGCCCGCTTCTGACAAGTCACATTACAGGTGAGTGGCACTTCACACAACCGATGCTGACGAAGTAATTCCGTTCACAATTCTCCTTTGCTAGGGGAAACAATCAAACGAGTGGTTTCAGACTAAATACCAAGCGTGAGTGGCGTGACCAGAGCCTGTAAACGGAACACGAGGGGGCTCCTGCAACACTCGGGGGGGGGCATGTGTGATGTCAGCCACGTGCACTTCCGAGTTAGATAAATCAAGTACGTGGGACGCGCGTGAGACTGAACCACCCACCGTAGTAGGATCCATCACAGGGAGCTTCATCATAAACATCATCATCGGCCATGACCAAATCAGCCGTCGCCATCTCTCACAGTTGTGTGATGTAGCAATCCACCGAGCACCTGCGCACAAGCTTATTTCGTTATTTGTTCTGCCCAGTGGGCACCCTCTCTCGGTCACGTGACCTCCTCTCGCTGCCACTCCATCGTTCGTCTTGACCGCTGGACATCGTTCCTTCGAGCAACGTGCTCTGCCCAAGTTTACGCATCTTTTCTTAATGATATCACTAAATAGCGTTTTCATATATTCTATAATGCAGGGGTCGGGAACCTTTTTGACTAGGAGAGCCATAAAAGCCAAATATTTCTAAATATATTTCATTGAGAGCCATATAGTATTTTTAACGTATAATAAATTAAATATGTCTTACTTTTAATGCGACTTCTGGTCACGGGACCCGTGACCCGTGAAATTTATCTTCAAAACTAATTTCTGTTTACTTTAAAATGACACAGTATTATTAAGCAAATATCACAAGTATTTTAAAATCAGTTACAAACTGATTTTTTTTTATTCAACTCAAAATTGTCTGGGAGCCATATGCCGTTCACTGGAAGAGCCATATATGGCTCGCGAGCCATATATGGCTCGCGAGCCATATATGTTCCCGACCGCTGCTATAATGCATGTGTTCCTCATTGTAAGTGTAGTTGCCAGCATCATGCCAATGTTTCTAAATAAGTACGTTTTTAGTCAGCCTATATTACCTGCCGTAACGTGTGGATCATAAATACGGACACTGACAAACGAAATGGAAAAAAGGCAAAAAAGTGCGCGAAGATATACGAGAGGCGATGTCACGGGTGGGCACCAATTACCGATAATTAACTTACAAATCCTGAACTTTCCAAATGCACTGCATAATGACAAGGAAAACTCTTCACCATTTCCAGTCAACTCGTGGTCTCAGATAACATAATTACATTTTTCGATTTAAAGCTTTCGTGACTGTAGGGATTCATCTTCTTGGTTCTTTCGGTAAAGTCACGTAGAAGGGAAAAAAAAACAGACCTGTTCTTCACCTGAGGACGGCTGCTTGCGTTGTGGCCGAAACGTTGTGAGAATTGTATTTTATTATGTTTTATTTTTTATTATTTTATTATTTCCCTTCTACGTGACTTTACTGAAAGAACCAAGAGCATAATTAGAATAAATTGGTCTGGCAGTGGTGAGTCATATTTAAATGGAGTTATCAATACAACAACAGAGTCGAGACAAACATTTTCATGGCAATTTCTTTTTTAAAGAACGTCAAACCAAAAACAAGAATGGTAAATTGTGGTGCTAAAAATAAACGCAAGATTGAAAAGCACTGTTTTTTGTGTGTAATTCTGATGTCATAGCTACATCACGACAAGCAAGAGTTAGTGCTACATTTACAAGCTGAAATTAAGTCATAATGGTGCCTGTGCACTGAGTATTAAAAACAAGTTCGGTCCCAAGTACATTTTTTTGCAGTTATGTTTTGATTGGTTAATTAATTCACTTTGCAGTGATGTCAGTGGTTATAAAAAAAAATACAATTCATACGTATAAAAGTTTTCGTAAGTCTCAACGAAATGTCTTAGTACCGTCCCGAATGGGATGTTCTGCTGATTCCAAATTGGCCAAACGTTTTCACATGTGGAACAGAAGCCCAGAGTGGCTGAAGAGAAACCACACATACAAGCAGTAAACTCTTGACGGTTTGCAGACACGTCCTTACGCACCCAATTTGCTCCGCAACTATTTCCTGGCCACTTAAACGCCCAGCGAGTTTGGGAGACTCACGACACGACAAGACCTATGCTTGATCTGCCAAAGCAAAAGTAGTGAGTGAAGGCTCGCTGACAGGCAAAGACAAAGATCCCCTGTATGGCCTTAACAGACTGTTGGGGCAAGTGCTGTTGGCGAGCACATATGAAGGCCGGCACGGTACACGAGGGGGTGGGTTACCAGCACCACGCCCGACCACCTTTGTCTCCCCAGTGGCGATGTTTTTACACACCGCACCAGGCACATACTGTGAGACAGACGGTGGAGAAGTTAAGTCTGAAGCTGTTCCTACTGCAACTCTCCTCAAAGTCCTCCTCAAATCCTTCATCTCCAAACTTAACGTGATCCTAAATGCTGCTGCCCACACCCATAAACCAGACCACGTCACCACAATATTCTAAACCCTGCACTGAGTCCCAATCTAAACCTGGTTGCATATCATATTACACTCACCATCTTAAAGATCCTCTACCGACTCACTCTTGCCTACCTCTGTTCTCTCATCTCTCTACTCCCCCTCCAAGCACTCTCTACGCCAGCAACCCACCAAGGCCTTTCGTCTCAGTCCCTGGTGAACCTCCGCTCAGCGGGAGGTCACTCATCTTCCTCTACTGCTCCCACATCCTGGAACTTGCTTCTTCCAACCACCTGTGCTGTCGACTCACTGCCGTTGTTCAAATTCAGGCTCAAGCTCATAAAACATGCTTTGCATTTATCTATGGCCGATTGATTTTCTGTAAAATAAATGTGCCCACTGACTCAATGCAGCGTGTTGAGATGTGGTCACACGTAGATGCTATACAAGTCTACAATGCATGGCTATTGTATTGTATCCTCCTGTAGCCACATACTTTATGGTCACGTTGAGATTAATTCAAGTATGCCACTTCATGAATATTACTTTACGTTTATTAATGAAAACTCAGGGCTGACTGAGAAACGTAACGCCCTGGCTGGAGTATCCAATGCAGCAACGCGGTGTCAACAACTAAACCAGTGACACTGTGATTAGAGCCATCACCCCTCTGGCCATGCGCCATCAGAAAGTTCAAATGCTGGTCAAGTAGCGACAAAATGCAGCAGCCCTTTGGGGTCGATAAAACACGCGTGCAACTTTGTGGGAAGCCACCAGTGATCAGACGACAGTGAACCTGGCCTCCCGAAGGGAATGTGGAATTTCCACCAACAGAGATGCACACGACTCAATTGGTCTTCTGGGCAGGGAGATATTTGGCAAATGTTTCCATTGACGTCATTATCTCCCACGTATGCTTACATGTTTTCTTTGTGTATGCTGCCGACAGGAACAATAACACTTGACAAACACCTTCAATACATCCGGTGACTACGTAACAGAATTTTCAATTAAAGCCAGTGTCTGTAATGGAGAGATGGATTTTGAGAGCGCACTTTCGTTTTCAATTTGCCTTTGGAAAGAAACAAAGAGATTATAGGACGATATATGAAGGAAAAAAACTATCTTAAATTTTGCAGAAGATATTTCCTGTTATTTGCATAAAAGTTATCATGCTCTGTTAACGGGCCGTTTGTTATGCTAATGACTTTGCTAAGTGCCGCTAAAAACAGTAACGAGGAAGAGATAATTTGGTGTTAATGCATCTGCAAAGTAAGATTAAATAATTACTTGATAAAAATGGATGATATCTTCAGTTTCACGGAGTAGATTGTAATATTTAATAGGACTGCAGACGCAGCTAATGTGTGTGTATAAATTCACATGATAGTCACACAATCCAGACAGCTGTCATCATAGTTGGTGGATTACATAGCGATGGCAACTGCGTGAGACACACACACCTACTTGCCAGTGCGAAGGTTCCTTTAAAGAGGCAGTACAGAAAGTAGGTTGATTACGGGCTATCTGCGCAGAGTCTGCATCCTCCTATTGTGTGTGTGGTTTGCCAATACGCAAAACACAAACCAAAAATACTATAAAAACAGAATGAGATCAACATTGTCGGATATCATTTCCCTACAGACAGCGAGACTGGAGATCTAGCGAAGCTTTCATGGGTAAAAAAGAACTGGATTACTCTATTATTAAACGGTTCAAGAAAAAGCTTTGTGGGAATGTGTCCTCACAGGATGTGCATTAATTTAACACAATGGCCAGCAGCCTTTGCGAGAGAAAAGAGTGTTTGGCCTGTAGGGGTTATTTTTATTGAAATTTACTGATCTTTGACCTTTGTGAACCACACCAATATCAGCAATGGGGACACTGGAGTTGTGGATGGTCGGCATATAGACTTAAAAACAAATTGTAAATATACAACGTATGATTTCGCAGCCAATTGTAATCCAAGGATCAGTTTCTGGATCAGGTTGCATGTCGAGTAGCATCTCTTCCCACTGCTGTTGACATCTTCAGGAGCCTTTACCATACACTAATGCGGGCATCACCAGGTGCTGTCACCACACACCATTGCAGGAATATCCCAGGAGCTTTCGCCACGCACTAGTGCACGGATCTTCAGGAGCTGAAGATGCCCACAGTGGCGTGTGGCGAGAGCAAGAGGGGAGAAACGCTCACCGCGCAGCGCAACCCGCAAACTGTCATCAGGTTGAGAGAGAGGGGGAATTACTGTAGGCGGTGACTGTGTCAGAGTCGGCAGGACGGGGGGTCGAGGAGGAGACGACAGAGCGCATCGTGAGGCACGGGCAGCACTGCGACGCAAGTTTACACGGAAACACAAACCACGCAGCTGAGCGGCACAGGTCAGTTCGCAGACAGGTGACGTAATGTGGCAAGAGTGGGTGAGGGTACAGGGCTTATAACGTTGCATAGTACGTGCATTTTAAAGTACTATGAACTAAACTATATTTTATCTCACCAGGCAAGGCCCACTTAGCTATGATAGCTCTTTTTCAGAAGCGACCTAGCCACAAATGACACCTCAACAGAGTGTCTTGTCTTGTGGAAATGTAACGCAGCCAAATACTCTCGACGCGTGATGTTGATTCTAAATGTGGAGACAAAAACTCTGAGGACCCGGAGAAAAAGACACACGACCATGGGGAGAACATGCAAACTCCAAATATACAGGCATCAGGATCGAACTCATGCCCTCCTGTATACCGCTCGAGGTAGTCAACATCCCACCAAATGCAACCGTATATCAAAATGCTGCACAGAAACAGTGGACGTAGTTATGTTTTTGAGATATAGTCAGTCATAGGGGGCTTGAGGCAGAGAGCGCGTGCACGGGAGTTGTGCGAGATGAAAGGGGAGCGGTCGGAGAGTACGTGGTGCCGAACAGAGGTGAGAGGTGAGAAGTAGGAGAGTGTGTGGAGGGCAGTGGAGTGAGATGAGAGACGACAGGTATTAGAGTGCGTAGATGGGGATTGAGTGAGATGAGTGAGAGGTGAGAAGTAGGAGAGTGTGTGGAGGGCAGTGGAGTGAGATGAGAGACGACAGGTATTAGAGTGCGTAGATGGGGATTGAGTGAGATGAGTAAGAGGTGAGAAGTAGGAGAGTGTGTGGAGGGCAGTGGAGTGAGATGAGAGGGGACAGGTATTAGAGTGCGTAGATGGGGATTGAGTGAGATGAGTGAGAGGTGAGAGGTAGGCAGTTTCGATCCCACGAACGATCCTGGAGTCCTCGGGAAGGGTGACCGATATGATTACCGGTGTATTCCAGGAGACTGGCAGCAGCTTCCGGAGGAGCTGGACGCACCACCAGCAGCCGCGTCTTCCCCGCAGCCTCTTCCTGCTGCTGCCGCTGACGCGTCGGTCTCCGCACGGTCACGCGCATCACCGTCGAGGGCCGCTCGCTGGCGGGTGGCGGACGCAGGGGGTGAGTCTGCACGCGGCATTTAGACACGCGGAGATAGAAATTCGGCGATAGACAAGCGGCATTTAGACACGCGGCGACAGACACGCGGCGACAGACACGCGGCATCAGACACGCGTTCATCTCGCAGGTGGGGCAACGTGGAGCCTCCACGCACAGATGCCCATCCCAACTCGCTTCCTCGCGACGACGCGCACAACCTGGCAACCTAAACCCAACTTACCAAAAGCTGAGGCGCTAGTGCCAGGGTAGTATCCACCCCACACACCCCCTGATGCTCCCCTCATGCCACCCCGCACTAGGGTTGTGTTCCCGATTTTCGGGATATGATAAATCAATATTTTGGAAGATCCGAAAACATGACGTCACTTCCATGACATGTCGTGCTTTTCCCATCCAAATGTGGTGTCATGTGACATCGGGTGATGTCACTTTTGTAAGCATGAAACAAAATGTAATTACTACATTAAATAAATGCTCAAATAAAAAAAAATACGAACAAAGATCTGAAATTTTACTTTAAATTCCAAACTCATCTTTTACCTGCAGACACAGACCACCAGGTCTCCCCTGAAAATAGCTCTTTGTTTTTAGTGATCTCGCACCTACTTTTAATCAAGGGCCGCTATCTTTCTGTGCTGTATGCCAACAGATGAGACGGGCCGGTGTGGCAAGCCAGACACGGTTAGATGGCAATGGCTGGTGGAATATACCACCACTATGAATGACATCCAACGATGCAAGCGGTGATCAAAAAGTCTGACGTTTCGGCCACAACACAAGCAGCCGTCCTCAGGTGAAGAACAGAGCTGTCGGAAAGACAGCGTCCTAAGGTTAGGAGAATTTTATTGTTTTATTTTTATTATTTCCCTTCTACGTGACTTTACCGGAAGATCCAAGAATAAGATTGATATTTCTCACAATTGCATACACACTCACAACTCAAAGCTTGAATGCCACATTATCCAATACACTCGCTGAGTATGCCAGTGCAATTTATACAGCACTCAAGGCACCATAGGGAAAATAAAAAAATAACAGCCCTCTTCTAAAGGGCACGTAAGAATAGGTTTGTCATCTGCCATGATTAAATGGTGAGCACATGCTCCGCTTGCAATCAAGAGGTCACCAGTTCAAATCCCCTGGCGTGGCAGTTGAAACAATCGACCACCAGGTTGCATATGGTGGGGTAAAGTGTGGGTCCTCCCACTTGTTCCAACTGCAGCGTGTACAACATTCTATGGCACGTGTCGTGACGGGCACTGCGAGATCTGACCGTGTCCGTCCAGTGCTCATCGAGCTGCATTGGCTTCTGGTTGCCGAACGAATACCTTTCCAGGTCGCACTCATTACACACAAAGTGATCGCCACAAATGAACCACAATACCTTGCTGACCTCGTCAAGGACCATAAACCATCACGCGAACTTTGGTCATCCTCGCAGCGGCGGCTTTTGGCTGGTCATCAAACAAAGACGGTCACCGCATCACGCGCTTTCAGATGCGCTTCTGTGGCCGTCTAGAAAACTCTTCCTTCCGATATTAGGAAGCCACTGGAGTTATGCACTTTTAATTCTGAATTGAAAAACTCATTTGTTGAGAACCGCTTTTTGTGTTTAATTTGTTGTCCATCACCCGCACCTCCGATTAGCACGGTTTGTTAGGAACGATGCGAAAAAAACATACAAGATATCTGGCCAGCATGAAAGCAAATTCCAAAGTACCCTGTGGTGGAGTTCTCTCTCTCTCTCTCGAGCTCCTGTAAGTCAAGGCCCTTTTGGCAACATCTGTCATCTGTACGTACTAAATTTAGCTGAAGACTTAAACAATCACGGTCATTAATTGAACACAGTGCGTAAAGGCTGCATGTCCAGGCATATTCTTAGGTTTTTTCGGTTAAGTCACGTAAGTAAAACATCAAAATAAAAATAATAAAATAAAAATAAAAATCACGACGTTTCGGAGGCAACACAAGTCTCCGTCATCAGGTGGGACCGTCACAGCCGAATTAGCTGCATCAAGTGAAGCAATGATTCAAGATGTAATCCCTTATAAGCAAATTGAAGGGAGGTGGAGAGGGGGGGTTGGAGAGCTTATCAGACTGTGGTAGCCAATGAATGGAAACGTATCGGGGGGGAGGAGGGGCGGTGATCAAACACTGCACGCAGTGCTCAACACAATGAATGGAAACGTATCGGGAGGGAGGAGGAGCGGCGATCAAAGACTGCACGCAGTGCTCAACACAATGAGTGGAAACGTGTCGGGACGGAGGGTGAGCGGCGATCAAAGACTGCACGCAGCGCTCAACACAATGAATGGAGACGTGTCGGGACGGAGGGTGAGCGGTGATCAAAGACAACACGCAGTGCTCAACACAATGAATGGAAACGTGTCGGAGCGGAGGGTGAGCGGTGATCAAAGACTGCACGTGGGGTCCCACCTGATGACGGAGACTTGTGTTGCCTCCGAAACGTCGTGATTTTTATTTTTATTTTATTATTTTTATTTTGATGTTTTACTTACGTGACTTAACCGAAAAAACCTAAGAATATGAATCTTTGCAGTCACGAAAGCTTCAAATCTAGAATTAATGTCCAGGCATCTTCACCGCCATTATTTCACATGCCACACGAGAGCAGTCACGGAATATAATCAAGGGCATCCCGACCGCTGTATAAGAATAAACTACTGTGGCTGGTTATAAAATGGGATGAACTTCCATGGGAACCATTCAAGTGTAATTTCCGAGCAGTACAACATACCCGAAGGTTTTGGCAATTAAATATTAGTCTGCAAGAACCAATGCTATCCATCATAGTTGATATATATTCATCTTCTTGGTTCTTTCGGTAAAGTCACGTAGAAGGGATGTAATAAAATAATAAAAATAATAAATAATAAAATAATTCTCACGACGTTTCGGCCACAACGCAAGCAGCCGTCCTCAGGTGAAAACCAGGTCTGTCGGGGAGACAGCGTCTGAATATATTGTTTACATACAACGACAAAAAGGTAACGAGAACCAAGAGAAAACTTTTGCAAAAATAACAGCCTTGTGTGTGGGTGGTGCGTCGATAATAGTTTTGAATTATAGCAGCGTTTGAACAGTTACAGGTCATTTATGCGATGGCAGCCGTGACAATGAAAGGAGGTCAACAGGCCTATGAACACTGCCAAAGTTAAATGATGGCATACGGTGAGCTATTAACCTAATTTTTTGTTTTCTTTTGTTAATAAACGACAGTAATTTGCTTTGTGAAAGCGGATGAGTAAGTGGTTGTAAAGTACCTCCACTACAGCGCTATCACTTGCTATAGCCATTGACGTTTTTCTTGGGCAGTATTAAGCTTTTATTATTATGTTGCAGGCTATAAAATGGCCCAAAACCTGACACTTTTTATTTACAGGCGCTGTTATAGACTCACTCTGCAGACTTGAAAATACCAATTTTGGAAAGACAATACAAAATAGGAAATGCAATTATGATTCTGGCTGTCATGAATGCCATTACTACATCCCACGTGCGAGTTCTCTCACTCGTCTCGTCATTTTGAAATTCACTTACTCGATTTCCATTGTACATAGTTCCGGTTGTTTATGATTATTAATCCTGTTTATAAAATGTCCCTGCTTTTGTTCTATGAAACCAACCCATGTGAACCCTCCCTTCCCATGTTACATGCTTGCCGTTTTGGCCAGGTTGCCAATGAAGAGCTTGCTAGTGGAATGGGGCCTTCCGTGACACAAAGTGACTGACTGAACGTGTCATCCCTCCTTGCCTTTGCTAGGGACTCACAACTTCTTTGCTTTCTGTCACGCAAGATGCTCGCTGCGTTTGCACAAAGCGCTGAACTCTCAGAATTCGTCTCAATTCTCTCACAGTGAACCCACCAGTCTGAGCGAAGCTTTCTTTCATGTAGTGGATAAAACGTAATTTGGTACGGTCCTGAATAAATCCTTTCAAGAAGCCAACTTCACATTTAACATCTTAGCGTGCTTTACCCTTTCATCAAACTGCGTGTTTATCTAAGTATGTAGAGAGAGGTCTTACGGCTCTTTTGATTGCCTCAACATTATATTTCGTGACATAGAGAATATTGGGACGATGCAGTAATTGCGCTTTTTATGCGACCCTGACATTAATAAAACAGTAACTGAATTAATGAATAGATGAATATTTAACACTTTGTGCTTCCTTTCCGGCAAATTATTCTTTACATATCCTATGAAATAATAAACGGACAAATTAACCATTACAAATTTATTATAAAACTAATTATGATTTATACCGTGACTGCTGCCTTCAATAGCCCACACTGATGTAGATGGCCACAACAACTGACACAGCAGCATAGGGAGAGCCTTCGTCCAGCAGCGAGTTGACAAGGGTCCAAACGTGAATGTAATTATTATATATTATATATTACAGTTAGCACAGGGAAAAGATCGCACCTAGCACGGAAGTGCCAAGGCGGAAGGAAACACAAGGAAACCGAAGTCTGCGATTTCATGTGTACGTGAACGTAAGCTGCATACGGGCGGGGGCAGTGGCATTATTATAACGGCACACTTTTGATAAAAAGCGCTCAAATCACAAATCCCAGCCGGGGGGGGGGGGGGGGGGGAGTTTACTCAGCCTATCATCCCTTCGCGAAAAATAAAATGCGTACGACTTCACGGGAAATTTACGAGTGTCGTTCTGTGAAAAGACTTGCCCTCGCCATGGGAAATGCAACGTCCACCAATGCCGAAGGGCGACCGAAGGTGGTGGCCGCCACCCCATCGCTCGTTTGAACGGATTCGAGGTCACTTCATCCAGCATCCGCATGATAATAAATTATCACAAGAGCTGGGACGATCCAGGAAATTGTAATAGGACGATCTAGAGGTGTGACCATCTATGGCATTGTAATTAAGATAATCTAGAGTTGTGACGATCTATGACATTGTAATGAGGACGATCTAGAGTTGTGAAGATCTATGGCATTGTAATGAGGACGATCTAGAGGT